AGAAAGCCCAAGGAGGAAAGATGCTTAAGTAAATTCTTATGTACCCTCTACAGAGAAACATCACAATGGGGCTAAAGGCAGAGTTAAATGGTCTGTGTAGCCCAAAGCAATGGAATAATGGGTGCCCCTGTTCTCCATAATGAGGGTATGGCAGAGAGGAGGGTGCTGCAGCAGACTGCTAAGGAGTAAACTGAGACTTTTGGCTTAGTGGCTCCTAAACAGGGAAGAATTAAGAATCTGCTGCAGGGGCTGGCACTGTGGCATAGCAGGTAAAGTCGCCGCCTGCAGTCCCAGCATCTTATATGGGCGCCGGTTGGAGTCCAGGCTGCTCCACTTCTGATCCAGCTCTCTGCTATGGCCTGGGAAAACAGTAGAGGATGGCCTAAGTTCTGGGGCCCCTGCACTCATATGGGAGACCCGGAAGAAGCTCCTGGCTCCTGGCTTTGGATCGGTACAGCTCCTGCCGTTGCAGCCAATTGGGGAGTGAACCAGTGGAAGGAAGATTCTCCCTCTCTCTCTCTCTCTCTCTCTCTCTCTCTCTCTCTGTGTAACTCTTTCAAATAAATTAATTTAAAAAAAAAAACCTGCTGCAGAAGCAATGTCTCCTTGTTCCTATCTGAGGAGGTGTGTGCCTTTTCTAAGGACAAGAAAACTTTCACACCTTTTGTGTGAAGCAAATAGGAAAGGATTTTCAAAAACATTAATGGAATATGTGTAATATGCTATGCATGGATTTCAAAATTTTGTTGCAACAAAGTAAGCTCATGCTAATTTGTATAACAGGTCTCAACAGGATCTAGTTTGAGGCACTAAGGATGATAAGATAATCAGTTTGAAAAGTGCCACTATCAGCTATCAGAACATGATGAATTCAGCAACAACTGGAGCAAGAACAAACATCGAATTTATGGTGAAGCTTGGGTGGAAGAATGGTGAGATCTTAATGCTTTATGAGAAGTTTATGGGGACAGTGTTCCAATGAAACCAAGGTACAGAAAGATAACTCATTTTAAGAAGGGACTAGACAGTGTTGAAAATGATGCCCACAGCAGCAGATCATCCACATCACTTTAGGAGAAAAACAACTTAATTTTGCTTCCCTAGATGAACAGGACTGGTGATTGACAGCGGAGACCATAGCTAGCTCTGTAGACATCTCAAGCAGTTCACCTTGCACATTCTGCTTGAAAAATTAAACTGGAGCAAACTTTCTGCTCTATGGAGGCCAAAACTGTTGCACCCAGATCAACCACAAAGAGCAGGGCTTTCGATGGGAATTTTAAGTAAATAGGGTCAAGACCTGAAGCACTTGTTTGGAGAATTTGAACAAGAGAGGAAACATGGCTTTACCTGTACAGTTCTTAAGATAAAGAATAAAGCAGTGGCTACCAAGAGGTGGAAAAGGTGTCTTCAAAGCTGATGTGCATTGGTCCGGAGTGGAGGTGACAGCAACTGCTTTATGAGATGTTAATTTACTGAAAGACCAAAGAATGATAATATCTTCCTATTATGAGAGTGTTTTGAGACAGTTAGGCCAAGTTTTAGTAAGAGCAATGCCCAGTACAGCTCCACCAAGACACTCTGCCATCAAGAGGCTGCTGCTCGTTCCTCTCATCAAACGAGAGCAATTTAGTGAAAAATTCCTTGGGATATCCTTGGACATGCACCTTACAGTCTTGATTCGGCATCTTTTGACTTATGTTTGTTTCCTATTCTTTAAATGGTATCCATGTTTCTTTAGTTGATAATGGAAACCAGGAACCTCAGTTTTTTAGGGATGGACTACATGGCATCATTACCTACAAAAGTGATTTGAACTTAAATGAACTTATGTTGAGAAAGTCTGTATTTTTTATTTTTATCTTTTACTTGCATCTCTCCATGAACTTTCTAATGTCCCCTCATATTGCCACCCACTCACTTTTTTCATTCTGTCTCTGATGTTATATTTGTTACTTAGGAAATAGCAATTAGTCTGTATGTTTATTGAATATAGGACCACTCTAAATATTAAGAGTTGGGCTCATCCTGTAATGGTGGCATATAAAATAATGTGATTATAAAAGGAAGTCGTAGGATATAACATGCAAGAAAAGAAAAAGAAAATGTGAAAGTCACAGGCCATCAATGCTCAGTTAATCATCGCTGCATTTACAGATATTTGAGAGGTAGATAGTTTTGTTCAGAAGAACAACGACATTGATACAAAGCAGAATTTGTGAAGCATTGAAGTAATATAAACTTGTCAATATTTGTGGTTTTTGACCTCAGATTTCATAGAAGTCAATTTGGACACATTACTTGGTTAACGGTAACACTTTTTAGTTCAGAGGAGCAGCTGGGACCAGGGCAAGGAAGTAAAATCACATTTTATCCCATGTGTTAGTTTGCAAAAAATTTTTCAGAATTATTTTTATTACAAGGGACACAAGAGGAAAGTTCTCATGTATTGCCTGGTTTCATAACAAAAAACAATCATCTGGATTTTCAGAAGTTGACTAGAACATGCGTGTCTAGTGGACATGATCTGTAAGTAAGGTTTATTTTGAGTACTAGGATGCAAAGCAGTACTAAGTACTAAGTACTAACAGGGCCTAGGAGCAGTTGCCAGCTAAAAGCCAGGGTGACTTCCATGCATCTTACTAACAAAATGCATTTCTGCTTTGTATCCTCTTGAGTAATCTGGATTCATATAGTGAACATGTCAGTGGTTGCAGGCTGATGGAACACTCCCTTCTCACAAGCATATTCTGTGGGTTTTCAATGGAAGGGGCAAAATGTATTTTTAGCTTGTAAACACAGCAACTATAGAAATAAATGAGTTTTAAAGGTAGGTATTTTATCACTATAAACTTAGGTTTATTATTTTAAAATAATTGAAAACAAGTCAGGCCCACGATATTGTGATTAAGTATTCTCTGCAAGTATTTTAAAGAAATATGTCTATATTTTGAATTGAGGCTCTATGGTTAGCCATTCTAAGCTCTGCATTACAAATATATAAAACCAAGCACTGATAAACGTGGAAGAAAGATGTAACAGGCTCCCTTGCAGAACGAGGCTGTTGTCCCAGTGTGGTTTCATCCCTCCACCCTGACCCCAGAACAGGGGACGAAACATACTCATTCCTACAAAGTGATGCTTAGGCAAATGCCAGGTACAAACTCTTGCAAACTTACATGTGATTTGTAGGGAGATGTTTGCAGGCATTGAAATGAACAAGGAACACTTTGCAAGTCTGGGGGAGGCAGGTGGAGACATTGGCAGCTGCTGTAGATCTGAGGTCCTCTAAGGGAGATTTGCATTTTCTGAGCTTCCCAAAGGGCTGGCCTGGATGCATTCTGGGTTAGCCCTGCACTACAGCAACTCTATTATTAATTATGCAAACTGGTTTTTTTTGGATGGGTAAAAGAATTCAGAATGACTCAGCAAGAGATTTCAAAACCAAAGGCCTTTACCTGCTTATGGAACTTTTTTAAAATCTGGTGTCTGCTGTGTACCCTGGGGAGGTCAGAAGTTTAAGAATACAGAACAGGCATCCTCAGTGCAGTGGCCCCTGGGAAGTGCCAGCTTTTCCAAGAACGTCCAGTCACTTCTGGTCCACCTCCTCCTCCTGTCCCTTCATCTCCATCAAAGGGGCAGATGGTCGACAATTTTCAACATCCGCCTTTTTCTTTCCTCTAACAAACTTATCTGAAGCCTGGTATTGCATCTCCAAACCAGTGGCTGGCTTTGTCCTTGGAAGGTGTGTGTGTGTGTGTGCACCTACACCTCTCTCTAGATGAGACTCCGTGTCTACATTTAATTGGAAAAGGGGGCGTGTGTGTCCAATAACGATGCGAAAGCAACTATGGGTTTCCTCGAAGTCCCTGCTAAAGCGACAGTTGGAAGATTCAGCCGGACAAGGCGCAGTTCCCGAATCACCCTTCCCTCCTCACCTATTTTGGGAACGACTAGCAGCTGTGGGGAAACCTCGCAATCGCGCACACCGGGGGCTTTTGCAGAGATTCCCTCTGATTTTTTTTTTTCCTACCCCAATTTCCCACAACCTGTGTTTGTCTCGAGTCCGCCAGCTGACGTGTGGTTTACCTCGCCGGTTCCGCCGCCGGGCTTGGCACACTCTCCGCCCGAAGTAAGGCGAGCGAAGCCCGGGGGTGCAGAGCAGCCAGGAGGGCCCCGGAGAATGCGCTCCCGAGGGTTCCGGCCCCGGCCCTCCCTGCGCCCACGTGAGCCCGGGCGATCTGGGCAGTGCCCGCTGCTGCAGTCAGTAACTCCACTTGGCATATATATATATTTTAATTGCAGCTCTGGCGATCTGAGTTCTTAAAAAAAAAAAAAAAAAAACTTTGTTGGGACACTTTCACAGTCAGCTGTGGCGAAGGCTCACGCACACGCTTTCCCAACTGTTCCCTGAGTTGCCCGAGGGTGCCAGCAGCAGCCCGGGAGAGAAACGCACGAGCTGTTTGCGGGGGAGGGGAGACGCAGATCGGCAGCAAAGTTGTCACGATCCCCCTCGCCACCCCCGGTCTGGCACTCCCCGCAGGGACGCACGTCATCCATTAATTGCTGTCTGCAGACTTCGCAAACCTAACGCATCCATTTTTTTTTTTTTAGCTTTGGGAGCCATCAATGGAGCGAGCGCGCTCGTGTCTGTTTGTGTAAGGCTATCAAAAGGAGTCAGAGAGGAGGCTGCGGCCCGGATCCTGACCCTGATTGTATGAATAAGTAAGCAGGATGCGAGTGATTGGGTTAAATGCTGCGAACATTTTTTTTTTTTTTTTCAAGTTAGGAAGAGGGTAGGGAAAAAAAAAAAAAAAAAAGAAAGAAAGAAAAAGCCCGGCGGGCGGGCGGGCGGGCGGGGGAGAAGGGCCAACAGTGCATCCCCAAAGCCTCACCCTTGCGCTCTCCTCGCCGTCAGGCGCTCTGCGGGCTCCCGCAGGCTTGGACGGGCTGGCGGCGCGGAGATGCCTGCCCCCCACCCCCTTGCTCGGTCTCCCCTTTCAGTTCAGCGGTGCTGATGTGCAGACCGGATTCATCTTCCCGGAGCGGCGGCGGGCGCAGGCGGCGGCGGCGGCGGCGGCAGCTCGCGCTCGGCCGCTCGGTCCTGGTAGTCGCCGCGGCGGCGGCGGCGCGGCGCGGGAGCCCGAGCTCCGGGCGCAGCTGAGCCCGCGGGGGCGCCCGCTCGCCGAGCCGCGGCCGGCCGTGGGAAGTTCGGCCTCCGGGAGGACGCTCGGGCCGGCGGCGAGCGCCCGCGCCGCCCGCCTCCGGGAGCCCAGCGCCTCACCTGCCCTCCGCCCACCCGCGGGCCCCCGGCCAACTTCCCCCTGCCCGTGCGCGGGGCTAGCAGGCGGCGCCCGCCCTCTCTCCTGTCCCGCCGGCACCCGCATGTCTCCGGACACCTGAACACCCCGGGTCCCGCCGAGGAGCCTCCCCGCGGCGGCGGCGGGGGTGGGGGGCGCGGAGCACCGGTCCCCTGCGCCCCGCACGGCCGCGGCCGCCTGCGCTCCGCGTCCCGTCCCCTCCGTGGCCTCCGGGGGAGGAGGATGGGGCTGGACGCGCTTTCCCCGAGGATGCTCGTGTGGCTGGTGGCCTCGGGGGTCGTGTTCTCCGGGCAGCCGTGGGTCTGCGCTGGCCTCGGGGACGATTTTTACGCTTTGGATGGGAGCGAAGAGGACAGGACGGAGAGCCTAGATTACAAGGACCCGTGCAAAGCCGGTAAGTGCCTGGCCGGGGCCGGGACGGCGGCGCGCTTCCGACGGGGGGCGGTGGGAGCTCACCTGCTTCCACCCCGCGCTCGGCAGCCCCTCCGCCGCCCCGTCCCGACTCGGCGGGAGCGCGGAGCCCGGGGCCCCCGTGCCAACTCCCGGCCCCTAGTTTTGGGCAGCGCGCGTCCTGGAGTTCCTGCCCCAGCAAAACCGAAACGAGTCAGGGAGACAGCTTGGCTGCCCCTGGCTTCGAAATACCCGCACTCCGCCGGCTCCCCGCACCGCCTCTTTGTTCCAGGGCGCGGTTCCCCGGCGGCCGAGAACCGGGCGGGCAGGGTCCCCGCCGCCACGGGGTGGCTGGGGATGGCGTTGCCACCTGGAGACGCCTCTACACGCCCCCCTCCTCTGGCGGGCATTCCAAGCGTGAGTTCCAGCTAGGAGGGGATTGTGGCCACCTTGGAAGAACTCACTTCGAGATGGGAGTCCTTTGCATTTGTCCCTTGAAAATCCCCCCCCCCCCATAAATTTAATTATTTTTCCTTGCAAGTTGCTACCCCATTCAAACTTGTGCCTTCCCGCCTGAGGACGGCCCCGGGAGCTGCAGAGGGACCCGCTCGGCGCCCCGGGTGCCCCCTCCGCGCCCCGGGTCTTTGGCCTCCCGGGCTCGCATCTGGCGCCGCCGCCCGCGCGCGCGGGGCGGTGCCGGCCGCCCGCCGCCCCAGGTCGGAGCCCCCACGTGCGGCGCCCCGCGACCACGTGAGCGCGGCGCCCGGAGGCGGCCGCGGCCTCGCTCGCCCGGGTGGCGGTAGAGGTGACCCGAGCGCAGCGTGGACCCGCGGCTAACTTTGGGACGAAGGTTCCAGGGGGCTGGAGGGGGCGGACTTGGCAGGGCTGCGTGAGTCCCGTGGCGAAGCTTCGAGAAAGGGAGCGGGCCAGTGCCTCCGGTCCCCGCCTGTGACTTCCCAGGGTCGCTGCGGGCTGGCGGTGGCGGCGGCGGGTGGGGTTGGCCCTCTGTGGCTGGCGTTTCTTGCTCCTGGTGCTGGAGGGAGGAGGCGCGTCCCCAGCGAAGGGAAGTGCTGCCCGTCCGTCCCCCGGGTAGTTGGATGACGCCTTGTGCTGACACGGAGGGTGTGCGTGTTGTATTCCAGTTACCAGTAGTGAGCGCACCCACCCTTGATGCACAGACTCACTCAAAACTCAGAGGAGCTTAGACGCTTGCTGGGAGGAGCTCAGAGAATTCTGACGCGATTCAGTTTCACCTCCAGGTTCTCTCCAGAAACACATCACCTGGTTTCCCACCCAAGTGTCTTGCGTCCTGCCTGGTGGTCTGGATAGGAGGAGGGCGTTCCGCTGAGTGGGTCCTGGGCGCCCCGCTACCAATGTGCTGAGTGATGCTTGCAACCCAGTGAAAACTGTGTTGCTTCTGTGTGGTGACGTAGAACGGAGGTCCATTATTTCTGAAGACCGTCTAGGAAAATTCAGCCAGCCTTCCCTGTGGAGCGTTTGCACAGTGTGTATTCACAGGCACATCGAGCGTCCAGGTTTATTTTCCTAAGGGGGAAAACACATAGAGCAAATTAAAAAAAAATTTATAGCCTTTATTCCCCGCCCCCTTTGATACTATAGTTCAAAGTAGCTACAGCTCGAGTTTGAGCCAATTGTTGTCATCTCACTTCTCCCCATCTTTGGGTGGAGGAGACGAGCGCCTGCCTGTGTGAGAGAAATAATGTCTCTGGTGGAAGGCTGCGAAGTACTCGCAGAATTGAAGATTCCTTCTAAAATGCTCCACTCTGCTTTCTGAATTTAGAGAAATGAAACGTTTTCGTTTACTGGCTTGGTGACAGTGGAAAAATCTTGATGTCTCCTTTTGCTATTAAGTGAGACAAGCACAATTTGAAGTCACAGAATGAAAAACACCAGGTAATTCACTGATATCCCTAACGAGAGTGCACAAGGTCACTGACATAACAAGGCGAGAACAGGTCTGGGAATGGAGGCCAGGCCAAAGCCCAGGGAGCATCCTGCCCCCACCCTGGGGCTGCCTTTGATTTTCCCTTTCCATGTAGCGAATGGAGGCCTTGGCCCATGAACTCCAAAGAGCCCTCCTGAACTTCTGTGAGGGGAGGCTCAATATTCCTCAAACTACTCCGTGGTGTAGGGGCCTAAGGACACCCATAGCTGAATGTTTCAAACACTTTTCAGTACATTATTTGACCTGGTGTTCAGAACAACCCAAGAGGGTAGAAGTTTTTTAATCTCCCCATTACACAGATAGGAAAACCGTTCCTCTATCAGCCTTTGCCTAAAACCTCTTTTAAGATTAGCCAGCACTCGATTCCTAGTCCGATGACTGTAGAGCCTGGTCGTATTTAATAATCACACTACACTTTTAGCTGGCTGTTGGAGACAAACAGCAGAAATTGGTTTAGGTTTACTAGGAATCCAGAGTAATAGAGCTGCAGTTATTGTCATACTTGGTTAAAAGAAGTGGCTAAAAGCATAGGTTCATATTTTGCAAGCCCAAAACCTTGAGGACAGAGATCATAACAGGTTTTTAATGCTTATCAAGGCAGGCGATGGGGTATGACTGATAAGACCTGAGTGTGTTCTCAGCGCTTTGCTGGGATGCATAGCCTTACTTCTCTACCAACTTCTGTTCTAAATAAGATCAACTGCATGTTGCCCATGGGGCACTATCCTGAGCTATAACTTGTTAAACTTGTTAAAAACTGTGCCAACCTTACAATATTTGTGAAATCGAATCCGATTTGTATGCCTATCAGAACTGTGATACCAAATTATGCAACTATAGGGCAGGAAGGAAGCCTTGTATTCATTTTATTGCATGTTGATGTAGAAGGGCACCTTTTGGTCTATATGAAAGAAGGCAAGTTAGTAAAACACAGCTTCAAATAAGTATCACTATGTGGCCAGATCCATTAAGACAGAATACTCACATAGGTACTTTGTATACACAGAAGTGTAGGTAATTCTGAGGAGCGTCTGGCTCTCTTTGGCGTAGTCCTTGGTCATCTGAATGGGCAGGTTTCTCTTATTTTTTCTAGTTCAGACAGGTCCCCGGGGACACTGGGGGGCTGATGTTGCAGGAGTCTGGTCCAGCGCCCAGCCTGTGGTGTCCTGTTTCCTTGTTGTCCTGTATCAGTAAGTGTTCATCTGAGCTGGGCCAGATGCAGTCTGCCAGTTAATCTTCTGGCAGATTTGTGTAGAAATCTGGAAAAGCAGAGGCCTGATGAACTGACTATTAACACAAGGCCTTCCTTCTCCCCCTCCCACCCTCTCCCTTCCTTTCTTCTTTCTTTTCTGTATTTTAGGGGCTGTTAGCAAAGTGCAGGCAGTTGCCAATGGACTATCTAATGAGGGAGACGGAGACTGTTGTGACTGAGAAACGTGTGAGACTGGTGAAGTGAAATGTTTGTTCAGAAGGGTAATCTCTTTGGACATACATCAGCCCCCCCCCCCCCAAAGAACATGAATCTCCACCTTAAGGCTCCTGATTGCTCTTTTCCTTGGAAAATCGAGTGGTGCTTAAAGGTCAGTGGCTGCAAGGTTGAATTTGCCTTTTGGGTAGCTTCTGCAAGCTTGTTTATATAGAAAGAGTCTTGGCATCCTAGAGAATTCTTTCTGTCTTTCTTCATAACTGGTGCCCTAGTGTCCTGGTACAGTAGCCTGGGATAATTTCTGTAACTTTGCAATTTCTACGTAAGATTATATTCATTCTTTTGGCTTTCCGCGTTGTACTTTCTGGCTGGACTGGCAGCCTGTCAGGTGTGGCCCTTTAGAATTTGATATTCAACTCAGCTTCTACTTTATTCCATCATCATTTTATATATCCAACATTTATTTCTTAGTCGGCGCCTCTTTAGACTGCCAAGTTCTCATTTAAAAGTGTATTTCAGAGATCTGCTTCTCCTAACCAGTCTCTTCTGTTTTAGTTTTCATTCCTCAGATCATGGATTTTTTTTTCCCCTTCTGCCTCCGGTGCCAACTTAGAAGAGGCCAAAATACAGTTTTCGCAAAAGGGATGGGATAAGGCATCATTTTCCGTATGTTTGACTTCTGTTCTTCCTTTGCCAGTAGGAATTATTGAGCCCTTGTCTTAAGGGCTCTTTCCCATTTGGGGCCTACAAATGGCAGTTACTGTTATTAGATATTTTCTTAAATATAAACCCTCGGACTGGACCAGCTCTAGACTCCCTCATTGTCTTTTTCTTTTTTGGTAGGGGGAGGGAGTGTTTGCAAAGCCTCCTGACATCTTTCCACTGTTTGTCTCTGAAGCAGATCCTTCATTTGCAAATTCAGAGCCTAACTGGATTATTTGCTTTGCTGCTGTTGAGTTTGAGTTCTTTGTGTATTCTGGATATTAGCCCCTTGTCAGAAGCATAGTTTGCAAATATTTTCTCCCATTCTGAAGGCTGTTTCTTCACTCTCTTGATTATTTCCTTTGCTGTGGGGGAGTTTTTTGCTCTGATATAATCTGTTGTCTCTCTTTAATTGTCTCTACTTTTATGTTATTGTCCAAAAAAGTCCTTGCCCAAACTAGTGGTGTAGAGTATTTCCATTTTCTTCTAGTGGTTTTATAGTTTCAGATTTTACATTTATGTCTTCTATCCATTTAGATTAGGTTTAGGGTGATAGATGGGGGACAGTCATTTTTTCACTGGTCGACATCCAGCCCACTGCTCTAAGAATGTGTGTCCTTGGCTAAATATGTGTTCTTGGCACCTTGCAGAAAATCATTTGATTGTAAGTTGGTGGGTTTATTCCTGGGCTCTCTTGTGTAGCTGTCTTTTTTTTTTTTTTTAAATGCCAGTTCCATGCTGTTTTGATGATGATAACTTTTTAGTGCATTTTGAAGTTGAATAGTATGCTGCCTCTGGCTTTGTTCTTTTTGCTCAAGATTGGTTTGCATATTCAGTGTCTTGTGGTTTCATATGAATTTTGTGATTGTTTTTCTGTTTCTG